TGGCAGTCAGCACAGAGCCCGACGCGGGGCTCGAACCCACGAACCGTGAGATCATGACCTAAGCGAAAGTCGGACACTTAACCGACTAAGCCACCCAGGCGCCCCTGGTCTCTTCTGTTCTAATGTGATTTTGTGTGTGTGTGTTTGTTTTCGTTTTTAATTTGAGAGAGAGAGAGAGAGAGAGAGAGTGTGTGTTTGAGTGGGGGGAGGGGTGCAGAAGGAGAGTGAGAGAATCCCAAGCAGCCTCCACACTCAGCACGGGGCCAGAAGTGGGGCAGGATCCCACAACCCTGGGACAACGACCTGAGCCAAAATCAAGAGTCAGGTGATCAACTGACTGAGCCAAACAGTCACCCGTAAAGTGAGTAGTTTTTATAAAGTACTTTTTCTGCATCTACTGAAGGATCATGTGCATTTTCTCCTTTATTCTGTTATTATTGGAAATTACACTACTGACTTTAGATTCTTAAACAATTTGGCAATCTTAGGATAAACTCAGTAATGATATAATAAACTTTTTATGTATCACTGGATTTGATTTGCTAATGTTTAATACTTTAATTTAATTTTTAATTTTTTTAAATGTTTATTTATTTTTGAGTGACTAGGGGAGGGACAGAGAAAGGCGGACACAGTTCTAGGCTCTGAGCTATCAGCACAGAGCCCAACATGGGGCTGGAACTCACGAACCATGAGATCATAACATGAGATGAAGTCTGAAACTTAACTGACCGAGCCACCCAGGAGCTCCTATTTTCTTTTTTTAAAGTAATCTCTACACCCAACTCATGACCCTGTGATCAAGAGTCACATGCTCTATTGGCTGAGATATCCAGGCACCCCAATTTGATATGTTGTTAAGGATTTTCTCATCTTTGCTTTTGAAAGATACTGCTCTATAATTTACCTGTAAAAACTTTGTCAGGTTTCGATATCAAAGTTATGCTGGCATCATAACATGAGTTGGGAAGTGCTCTTTGTCTTCTAATTTCTGAAAATTTGTAAATTATTTCCTTCTTAGATGTTCATTAGAATTCACATCTGAGCCTGGAGTTCCTTTTTTTCTTTAAGATTTTTTTTTTTTTTAAGTAATCTCTACACCCAGCATGAAGCTTGAACCCACCACCCTAAGATCAAGAGTTGCACACTCCACTGAGCCTGCCAGGCACCCAGAGCCTGGAGTTTCTTTGCGGAAGAATTTTTGATAAATACAATTTTTTAAATTGGCTGTGTAGATTTTTTGTTTCATCTATGGTGGTTTTGGTGTGATTTTCAAGGTATCTGTCCATTTCATCTAAATTGTTAAATTCTTTGGCAAAGAGTTATTTAGGAATTCCTTATTATCTTTTTAATATTCCTAGGATCCCTAGTAATGTCCTCTTTTTAATTCTTTTTTTTTTTTTTTTAAGAATTCTTTGAGTTTTTGGGGCGCCTGGGTGGCTTAGTCGGTTAAGCGTCCGACTTTCGCTTAGGTCATGATCTCGCGGTTCGTGGGTTCGAGCCCCGCGTCGGGCTCTGTGCTGACTGCCAGCTCAGAGCCTGGAGCCTGTTTCAGAGTCTGTGATTCCCTCTCTCTCTGACCCTCCTCTGCTCACGCTGTTTCTCCCTCTCTCTCCTAGAAATAAATTAAAACCTTAAAAAAAAAATTTAAAAAAAGAATTCTTTGAGTTTTTTCTTAATGTTTATTTATTTTTAAGAGAGAGAGAGCACACGCCCGTGTGCACGCACACAAATGGGGTAGGGACAGAGGGTCAGAGAGGGAGACACAGAATCCCAAGCAGGCTCCAGGCTCTGAACTGTCAGCACAGAGCCTGATATGAGGCTTGAACTCAGACCAAGAGATGACTTGAGCCAAAGTCAGATGCTCAACCAACTGAGCCTCCCAGGTGCCCCTTCTTTTTTAATTCTTAGTTTAGTACTTTGTATTCTTTCTTTTTTAGTTATCAGTCTAGCTAGGAACTTAACAATTTGTAGATCTTTTCAAAACACCAGTTTTGGCATTTGTAATTTTCTCCGTTGTCCTAATGCTGATTTTTGTTGATTTTTCTTTTTTTTCTAAATGTTTACTTATTTTTGAGAGAGATCGTGAGCAGGCCAGGGGCAGAAAGAAAGGAAAAGGATCTGAAGTGGGCTTGGCAGGGCATCTGCAAGCCCAATAAGGTGTTCAAATTCACGAACCATGAGATCATGACCTGAGTTGAAGTCGGACACTCAACCAACTGAGCCACCAAGGAGGGCATCCCTGATTTCTCTTTTTTTGGATTATTTTTAATTTAAAAAAATGTTTTTATTTATTTTTGAGAGAAAGAGAGACAGAGTGCAAGCTGGGGAGGGGCAGAGAGAGAGGGAGACACAGAATCTGAAGCAAGCTCCAGGCTCCAAGCTGACAGAACAGAGCCCAATGCTCATGAACCTCGAGATCATGAGTGGGGCTGAAGTCAGAGACTCAACTGACTGAGCCACCCAGGTGCCCCCCCTGATTTCTGTTTTAACTGCAAACTTTGTGGACAAAGCAGAGTGATCTTTGTAAAAACATAATCAGACAATTTTATTCCCCTACTGAAAACCTTCAAGCATTTCCCGTTGTATTTAGGAAAAAAGACAAAATTCTTACCATATCCTTTAGAGCCCTCAGTGGTCTGGCCTTTGTGTACTTCTCCAACCCGGTTTGTTGCTTCTCATTCACTCACAAAGTTTCATTCACAGTGGATTTTTGACAATTCCTATACAAGCCAAGCTTTTTCCTGTCTGAGGCTATTCTCTTCACCTGAGGTCATTGTACCCCCACAACTCTGCATAGCTATTTCCTTTTTATTTTCCATGTGTCAGCCTAAAGTATAGCATATTAAAGAAACAGAAACTTTCCCTTGACGATTCTAAACTAGCTCTCTGATCCTTACACCTCACAATTATTCTCTATAAAGTGACCTACTTACTTAACAAGCACTTACCATAAACTGTCATACTTTTATTGATTAGTTTATGTTTCTTGACATGAAGTATAGCATCAAGGCTAGTAGATTAGGCTGTAGATTCAGAGTGGCTGAATTTGAATCCTGGATCCACCACTTACTGTGTGAATTTGGGCAAGTTATTTGATCTTCCTGGGCCTCCGTTATTCCATGTGTAAAAAAGAAATTTTAATTAGTACCTATCTTAGAATTGTTGTAGAGATAGAGGTAAGGCATTAAAAGTACATAAAACAGGGGCATCTGGGCGGCTCAGTCGGTTAAGCATCCGACTTTGGCTCAGGTCATGATCTCACGGTTTGTGGGTTCGAGCCCCACATCGGGCTCTGTGCTAAGCGCTAGCTCAGAGCGTGGAGCCTGTTTCAGATTCTGTGTCTCCTTCTCTCTCTGACCCTCCCCTGCTCATGCTGTGTCTCTCTCAGAAATAAATTCTTAAAATTTTTTAAAAAAATTAAAAGTACATAAAACAAAACATGGAACATAGTAAGTCCTCAGGAAATATGCATGACTTAATTATCATCGATTTCTAAGGCCTAACACAATGTCTGTTATTCAAAGAATGGATGTGAGGAATTGTGTAAAGTGTTCAGTTTTTATTCAAGTATGTCAGGTATCATTGGCCCAAGTCCTCAAGGCAATGCATTACTCACATAATATAGGTTTTATTATTTGCCATTCATCTTTGCTCAAATTAGCAACAGACTTTTCTTTCTTTTTCTTTGTTTCTTTCTATTTATTTATTTAGAGGGAGACAGAGACAGCATGAGCAGGGGGAGGAGCAGAGAGAGATGGAGATCAGAGAGAATCTCAAGCAGGCTTCATCCTGCCAGCACAGAGCCGAAGATGGGGCTTGAACTCATAAAATTGTGAGATCATGACCTGAGCCGAAACTAAGAGCTGGATACTTAAATTGGTCAAGCCACCCAGGTACCCCAGTAACAAGACATTTCTGCGAAATAAACCAAATGAATTTCTTACTAAATTGTTCCTCCCATGGTCTATTTGTGCTTTATTTCTCCCTACTGACATAAGGTCTCCAAAAACAGGGGCTGAGCCTTCCTTCGTCCCATCAGTAGACAGACATCACTGAGGAGCTATTATGGTGAGTACCATACCCTGTGCTCCTTATAGTAAATGAAGATATGGCTCTGCCCTGGAGAGAACCAGTTTGGAGGGACACAGATAAACAGGCAGTTACCATAAAGTGTGGTACACACCCTATTAGAAAAATACCTGGTGTTAAATGCTATTGGACATCCAAATCAGACTATAAGTACAGCTAACAGATCTCCCAAGGTGAGTCCCCCATAATGCTGATATAATGCCTGACATACACAATATGCTAAATAAATGGATGTGGAATACCCAGGGGGAGAATAGTGTAAGATATATACCAATTAAACTTTCTTTTTTTTAACATTTTATGTATTTAATTAATGTTTATTTATTTTTGAGAGAGAGAGCATGAGCCAGCAAGGGGGAGAAAAGGGGGTGGGGAGCCAGAGGATCCAAAACAGGTACAGGCTCTGCACTGACAGCAAAGAGACCAATATGGGGTTCAAATTCATGAACCTCAAAATCATGACCTGAGCCAAAGTTGGACGCTTAACCGATTGAGCCACTCAGGCGCCCCTACCCATTAACCTTTCTAACTCCATACGCTTAAGAACTAAGAATCATACCTCATTTAATGCCTAGACCAGACCACTGTCCCATTCTATAGACCAAAGGGCTATTCTCACAAAAGGCAGGAAAAGAGTAACAATGGAAATCAAAACAGAAATAGACATCTTCAGTGGAAGATAACCTGGCAAGATACACTTTGGGTCATCAATCTGAAAATATAAATCAAATATAATTACAGTCATTATTTTAAATATTCTTGCATTCTGACTATTATGTTTAGCATTTGTGCTTCAATATAGTAAATAGTTAAAAAAGAGAAATAATGGTCAAAATATGAATAAAATTTATTTTTAATATCCTATGTTATCTGTAACAGACATAGAATGCAAATTTTTGCTTAAAAAAATATTTGCAGTCCTTCTTTATTGATAATATAACTGAGATATTTATTTCATACATTTAAATTATATTGTGATTTGATAACAATATTTAGTTACAGTGTAGCCCAGAAATTAAAATATACAAAATAGTTTCAAGAACATATGTATTTCTACCTGTGGGGTACACTTACAAATCATACAAAGACACATATTCATTTTAAAATAAAACTTTGAAAATGAAACCAGCTCATCTAATTTTTACCAAGGTATAACAAGAAATCTTTTATGCAAACAAATTAAAATTGAAGCAGAAATAACACGTTCCACTTAAGTTTCCTAAGTCCTAAAAATCACATCAATTAGATGGTAACTAGACTAGTGTGGTGATTGTTTTGCAGTAAATACAAATATTGAATTATTACATTGTGCACCTGAAACTAATATATTGTTATATGTCAATTTTACCTCAATGAAAACAATTATAAAATTAGAGCAATTAAAAGTTTGCATTGATCAAAAAGAATCACATCAATTCTACAAATCACTATTTCTGAGGACAGAACTGTAATTGTTCCCTTCCCATTTGCGTCATGCTTACAGTAAAAGATAAAAAGTACTCTAAACACAATCAATGGAATTCTTATATTTTAAACCATTTTAATATAAAGGATAGCAATTCTAATCAGTTTTATGTTTCTACTTAAGTTTATATTGCACTAAAATTATTTTACATGGAAGAACTAGTTGATGTATCATGACAAAATACCTTAGAAACATTCTTTGACATTCACATCTATATTAATAGATATTTCACAGTCCACTTAAATAAGTTTTCTAGTATATACGAAATCATCTTAACAAAAACAAATCTACAATACTAATCCGTTTTGAGAACAAAGATATTGAGTATTTATCATTACTGCCTTTGGGAAATGTATTGACTTTTAAAAACAAATTTAAGTCAGTCATAGTACCTAGTAATAAACCTCTGAACAACACCTGAAAATTCTTCATTTATTGTTAAGCTTCTACAAGGCTAATTTTTAAATACATTTGTTTTATTTAAAAACAAAGAGAAAAAGTATCAGTCCTTTTATGCAGTGGAGCAGAATTATGAGAAGAGAGATCATAAGAATAATGTTCAATGCTGGCATCTAAGCTATTTTTTTTTTCATAGTAATCTCTACACCTAACAGGGGCTAGAATTTATGACCCCCAGATTAAGAGTCGCATGCTTTTCTGGCTGAGCCAGCCAGGTGCCCCCAAAGCTACATTTTATAAACATAAAAATTCAGTTCTCATCATTCTACTGCAATATAACCAAGCCTATTTATAATAATAATAATAACCAATGTTAGAGTCTTTGAAAACCATGATTATAATTAAAGCTTGGAATTAAAGCATGATAAAGCTAATGGCAAACTCTTGAATCCCATTTTAAGTTAGTTCTGCTCCCCAAAAAACACTTTAAAACAGTTTCAAATAACCTAACTGATTATCCAGCATCAGCTTAGGAATTTTTTTCAATGTTCTCAGTTATAACTTTTGGCATCAAAAAGCATGGTAAGCACTTTTGATTTGTGATGAATAAAAAATCAAGTACTAAAATACCAGTGGTTCCTGTGACTAGGCAAATAGCCCCATTCAAGTAATGTCCCCTCAAAATTAAAGTAACATTTTATTTCTCCCTCTGAGAATTTACTTAAAGTAATTACAATTTTCTTTAGTTGAGGTGAAAAAACTGCTTCAAAAGTTCGTATGTTGTAAAAGCCACTGCTTGAGAGGGAATACAGCGAATGTAATTAAGAGATAAACCACGATATAATCCTCTTCGAATTCCATGGTGTCCATAGACGTACTTCATAGTCTCCCACATGGTACTGAAAGACAATAGTTAAATGATGACACCTTTATGCCCACTGATGAAGAGACATAAAAGAAGCCAAAATGTCAAGGGCACCTGGTGGCTCAGTCAGTTAAACATCCAACTTTGGTTCAGGTTATGATCTCACAGGTTCATGTGTTTGATCCCCTCTGTGCTGACAGCAAGGAGCTGCTTGGGATTTTCTCTCTCTCCCTCACTCTGCTCATCCCCTACTCACCAGATCTTCTGTCTCCCTCTCAGCCCCTTCCATGTACCCTCTTTCCCTCTCACAAAAATAAATAAACATTTATTTTAAAAAAGCCAAAATATCATCTTGAATCATTTGGAAACCAAGTGTTAAAACAAGCTGAAAATTCACCATAAAACAGCAATTCATTCCAAACAAGTACAAGCATTATGCACAGAATTGCAGGCTCATTAATATAATTTATTTTGTTTGAATGTAACATTTACTGGCAACAATATTTCATAAAAATATTTGAAATATTTATGTATTCTTTTTGAGGGATGTTATGTGCAGTAGGCCATCAAGCTTCCATTTCAACTCAAGTTTTATACTATAACTAGCAGATGGTTATAAAACTGAGGCTTAAAGGGCCTCAGATTTAAGCAATAAAGACTTTGTAGTTCCAAACAGTGTTCCTTCATTTCAAACCAACATGCTGGCCTTTGCGTTTCTCTTTAGATAGGCAATCTGGACTAAGTCTTCAAAAAACCCTTTAGGTGAACAAAGGCAATTCAAAGTCCTGAGCAAATGCTCTGCTCTTCCCCTAAGGAACAACACACCACCAAGAAAACAGAATGATTCTAAATCTCTACAGATTATAGAAAACTCTAGAGCTGTGCTGGGTAATGATGGTAGCCATTAGCCATACATGGTCAATAAGTACTTCAAATGTGCCAAGTCCAAATTGAAATGTGCTGTCAGTATTAAATATACCCTGGATTTCAAATACTTAGTATTAAAAAAAGTATGCAAAGTCTTGAGATGTTGAAGTGATAATATTTTGATATATTAGATTAAGTTAAAATATTTAATTTTTATTTTTTAAAGTTTATTTAAGTAATCTCTGCACCCAACATGGGGCTCGAACTCACAGCCCCAAGATCAAGAGTTGCATGCTCCTCAGAATGAGCCAGCCAGGGGCCCCTAAATTAAAATATTTTATTTTAGGGGCGCCTTGGTGGCTTAGTCGGCTGGGCGTCCGACTTTCACTTAGGTCATGATCTCGTGTTTCGTGGGTTCGAGCCCCGCGTCGGGCTCTGTGCTGATTGCCAGCTCAGAGCCTGGAGCGTGTTTCAGAGTCTGTGTCTCCCTCTCTCTCTGACCCTCCCCTGCTCACGCTGTCTCTCTCTCTCTCTCTCCTAGAAATAAATAAAACATTAAAAAAAAATTTTAAGAAAATAAAATATTTTATTTTATTTTTGAATGTTTTATCTATTTCCGAGAGAGAGAGAGAGAGAGAGAGAGAGAAAGACAGCATGAGCAGGGGAGGGCCAGAGAGAGAAGGAGACACAGAATCTGAAACAGGCTCCAGGCCGAGCTGGTCGTCCACACAGAGCCCGAGGCGGGGCTCAAACCCACGAGCCGTGAGATCATGACCAGAGCCAAAGTCGGACGTTCAACCAACTGAGCCACCAAGGCGCCCCTCTAAATTGAAAATTTTAATAGGGACTGGGACTTGGGGCACCTGGGTGGCTCAGTCAGTTAAGCATCCAACTTCCACTCAGGTCATTATTTCACAGGTTGTAAGTTCAAGCCCCGCTTAGGGCTCGTGTGCTAACAGCTCAGAACCTACAGCCTGCTTCAGAATCTGTATCCCCCTCTCTCTCCACCCCACCCCTGCTTGTGCTGTCTCTGTCTTTTAAAAATGAATAAACATTAAAAAAAAAAAAAAGAAAAAACAGGGATTGGGACTAGATGAAGAGCTTGTAAATTTACCAAAGTATACTATGGAAGATCTGGACTACTGGTAAGACCACAGTACTATCCCCATATTTACTCAAACATTATATTTCCTAAAGAAAATGAACAATGACAAATGGAGAACTTACAGGCACTTTTCAAATTCTGGAAGAACAGTTCCTAATTGCATTCGCCGACGAGTTACATCAAATGGGTAGCTAAAAGAAGAAAAAGGCAGGACTTAAATATGATTTTCAGTGTTCTACTCAACAATTATTGAATACAAAGTTCCACATGTTATTTTCCTAGGAAATAATGTGTTCTTATGCCTTTGTTTTGTCCAATCTAGGAGTCAGGACATAAGCACATGAATAAAATCAAACAGCAATACAGAGGTCTTGCCTTTGCTTATGTGGTTCTTTCTATTGGGTTAGTTGATTCTCTCTCATCACAATACAGAGTTTTCTATTCATTCCTCAAGGCCAAATTCAATGCCACTTTCTGAAGAAACAAACAGTATTGTTGGAACCCTAGGACAGGGTTTGGCACTATTGACATTTTAGGTTAGATAATTCTTAGTTGTGGGGGTTTATCTATGCACTGAGTTTAGGTTCATCCCTGGCCTCTGCCCACTATGTGCCAGTAGCATAACTCCAGCTGTGACAACCAAATTGTCTCCAGACATTAATAAGTGTCCATTGGAGGCAAACTCACCTCTAGTTGACAACCACTATTCTAAAAGGATTTAGCAAGTCCCCTGGTATACAGTAGACCAACAAAAAATTTTCCTTAAAGGCAAAAATTAACAATACAGATAGTGCATTTAGAGGACAGAGAAAGTTCTATGCTAAGAGGGGAACCTGGGTGTCTCAGTCGGTTGAGCATCCAACTCTTGATTCTGGCTCAGGTCATGATCTCACAGTTCATGAGTTTGAGTCCCATATTGGGCTCTGTGCTGACGGTGCAGGGCCTGCTTGGGATTCTTTCTCTGCCCTTCCCCTGATTGTGCTCTCTCTTTCCTTCTCTCAAAATAAATAAACTTAGAAAAAAATAAAATAAAATAAATTGCCTGAAATGAAATATACAAAAGGAATCTCTCTTAGGAGTGGGACCCCAGGTGATATTTTTAAATTACTTTTATTTTGCTAATATTGACTATTGTGTTAGGTCCTGTGTTAAACAATTTATGTAAATTATCTCCTTCCATCTTCACAACTGCATGAAGCAGGTATTGTTATCCCAACATTAAGAAAATCGAATCTTACATTCTCCCGTGTCACAAAGCTGCTTTCTACTTTTCTATTCAAAGACCTCCATGGTACCTAATATATACTTAAGTGATATAAGACAAAAATAATAATATACTTTTATATATATTTATATTTATAATAAAACGTTATAATTTAAAAAAACATCTTTTAGGATGCCTGGGTAGCTCAATCAGTTGAGCATCTGACTTCGGCTCAGGTCATGATCTCACAGTTAATGGGAGAACCTGCATCGGGCTCTGTGCTGACAGCTAGCTCAGAGCCTGGAGCCTGTTTCAGATTCTGTATCTCCCTCTCTCTCTGACCTTCCCCTGCTCATGCTGTTTCTCTCTCTCTCCCTCTCAGAAATAAATAAAATATTTTTTTAAAAAATTAAAAATAAATAAATAAATAAATAAGCATCTTTTTTAACCCAATAGCTTAAGAAATAGCATTACCAATAACTGAAATTTTGTATGCATTTCAATAGCACCTCCAGGAATTATTTTTTAAGGGGGTAGTGAGAGGAAGAAACTTTATGTGAATTAAGGGAACAAAACCTCAAGCTAAAGAATTCAGTTTCCAAGCCGGAAAAGACGTATGTGAGTAGAAGGAATTAGTTAGTAGAAAGGAGAGAATGTAAGAAGACAAGGTACAAGAATTAGAACAAGGGAAAGAACAATGGGAAAGAAAGAAAATAGCATTCTAGGCAATGTTCTACAGTAACAAATGGTAAGGCATAGTGACTATTTGTATAGGTACAATGTGAAAAATGATTTCAAGGTATTATTAGCGCTAGAAGATTAATGGTTATCAATAACAAATAAGAAAGCTGGGAGCTGAGGATTGTCACCAAGAAGAAAAAAGGAATTAATATCTGAACTATGGACTTTGCCCTGATGGTAGAAGTCCAAGCAAAAATATCCAAGAGCTTGCTACAGAAGTAATGGAGAGTCAGCAATGGAGATTTAAATAGAATTTGTTATCTGTGCAGAGGTGACTGTTGAACCCATAAAGATAGATGAGCTATTCTATATATTTATGGGAAGAGCATAGGACCAAAGTCAGGGTGGGACTTAAAACACTGGCATGGAGAGGTAGAAAGAAGAAGATATGAATCAGCAAGCTACCTGAAAAGGTGGGGGCGGGGGGAGAGTTGGGAAGGTGGATGGCCAAGAGAGGTACTGTTACAAACAAAGGAACTAGAACAATTGGAAGGAAGCAAAAGAACTGAGAGGGAGACTGTGGATCTGGTAAGAGTCAATGGGTATAGAATACAGTTTAAGAAAAGAAATGGGAAAGAAAAGATTTTAAGGATCTAAACAGAAAATGAGTAGTAAAGAAAAAAGGCAGTAAAAGCAAGAAGAGAATCAAAATAGCTAAAGGTTTCCACAAATGAACAAGGCTGCACAGCCATGTTGCCAAATGTAAACCACCACCATTCCTTCTATACCTTCAAACTAGTATGATCTGCTTCCACACACAAGTACACTGAATCTGCTTTCACAAAAGTAATCCTTGATTATAAAATCCAATCAACACCTTACTTTTCAGTACTTTTCTTACTTTGACTTTTCTTTTCCATTGGATACTCTTTTTCATCTTTTTGTCAATACTACATCCTGTTTTTCAGGATACTCCTCAGTCACAGAAAGCTTTTCTTCTTGTTTCTGAAAAGTTCCTGCTTCTTAGTGTTCTAGCCTCTTTTTATTTCATCTACCCAATCTCTCTTGAGCTAGGGAAATCCTCTGAAGCCACTTTTTCAATTACAATATAGTAATACCTTTACATTCGGCAAATGTCCAAACCTAGTACATTGTCTGACACAAAGGAGGCCTTCAAGATTTAATGCAAAAGAAGTGCCTCCTGGCGCTCCTGGGGGGTTCAATCAGTTGGGTGTCCAACTTCAGCTCAGGTCATGATCTCATGGTTAGTGAGTTTGAGCCCCGCATCGGGCTCTGCTGTCAGTGCAGAGCCCACTTTGGATCCTCTGTCTCCTCACTTTCTGCCCTCCCCCACTCATTCATATTCTCTATCTCTCTCCCAAAAATAAACATTTGAAAAATTGTATTAGGGAAAATAAAATGAATTATGCTGAAAATCAAGATTGAGAAACTGCCATTTGATTGAATTAAGCTGATGAAGAAACTTACGATATTGTCTGTGCTATTGCTCCAGCAACACCACCACAAAGTAAGTTTACGTGGGTTTTCAAAACTAAGACATTAGGATTGTCTGATGAAGGTCTGCCAAGAAGGGTAGGGGCATAGGAAAGCCCAACACTCTTTAAGGTACCAAAAGTAAAAAATGAAACACCTGAAAAACAAAATATAAATTCACCATAATGCTTAACATTACATGAACCATGAAAAGACACCATTCTTCATAACCAATTAACTCAAGGAACAAACTATACATTTCCTTATTTCTGAAAGAAAAAGGCTTAATTAATGTTTATAAATAACAAAGATGACAAGATAACCACCTATAACAATTATAGCTATGGTTTTCACATGCTAATATATACTTCAGTTTACTGAATAAAGGCAGTAGTTGGGGACAAATGCCACCTTATATATTAATAGAATTAAATAGTTGTCCAAGGTTTCACATCAGTAAAAGTTAAATTCATGATTAATAATTACAAGTAAAAACGCCAACTTAAATTCACAATAACACTGATGGTGATAAAATGAAAACAAACATTCAGAAGTGACAAAGAATTGTTATTTTAACTCAGTGCCTAATTTTGTCTCCAAGGAAGAGTTGTATCCATGAGAGGAATGTTCATATTGAATCACAAAACACATGAAATCTAATAAATATTAAATTATCAATAATATGCACTTAGAGCTTGCATTTACATATCTTTATAATAGACTCAATAAAGTCTCACATTGACAAAATGAAGAATAGAATTCAAGCAACCCTATCACCTAAGCATTATTCAAGATACCTTGACATCTACTAAATTTTAAAATATATTTAAAACATACTTGATGCTTTATAAGAAATGAGCACTAAAAAAACTCAGTCTAGAATAGCTCAATATGTGCACTTAGTCTTTATACAAAATTCTTATAAATTTATAGCATTTTGAAATGACAGTATACAGTTTTACAATATTCATACACTTTTGTATTTGGGAAACCTATTCCAAAGACTTAATCTAAAATCTAAAAAAGATCACAATGGTGAAATTCATAGTAAATTAAATGTGAGTTAAAAAAATTAGAAATACCTAAATGATGTGGAATGGTACTTAGTGAAATATGACACAATTAATAAAAATGATATTTGTGAAGAGTACTGAAATATGTGAAAAATGTTTGCGCAATGAGGAAAAACTAAGAAACAAAATTATATATACATACTATAACTTATATAGTTTAAAATATATTTTATTATTGTTTTTTAAAATATTTTTTTATTTATTCCTGAGAGAAAGAGAGAACCAGCGTGAGCAGGGGAGGGTCAGAGAGACACAGACCCCAAAGCAGCTCCAGGCTCTGAGCTAGCTGTCAGCACAGAGCCCGACATGGGGCTCAAACCCATGAACCTTGAGATCATGACCTGAGCCGAAGTCGGATGCTTAACCGACTGAGCCACCCAGGTGCCCCTAAAATATATTTTAAAAACAAAAAGAAAGACAGGAAAATAGAGCAAAGAATTGAAGAGTTCAATTAAAGAGTTCTTCTTCCAGCATAATTAATAGTAATCTAGGTATTCTGAATGACTTTGTCGTTACTATGGGGCTTGCAAAAAGGATGAGAAGGTCTTCAAGAATCCAGTACCACCACCTTCCAAAAACTTAAGATGGAGCTCATTTGGGAGTTGTGGGCCCATGAGAGAAGTGAAGTGACTCTACATATTGATGCCAATAGCAGCAAAGCTATTGAGATAGATCTTGCTATTGAGCCTACAGAAGATGGAATCACTGGGTCTGAAACTCAGAGATTAAGATCAAGTAATGGGTTCATAATTAAAGACCACCAACCATAGGAGGAGGCAAATGAATTTATACATTTATAAAAGAGTGGGTAAGAGTTTGGCAAAATAAGTGAACAAAAAAGAAATATATAAAAACATAAAAAGAAAAGCCACAGGTGGAAATTAAGCAGCAAGATATAGAAACAAGTACAAATATATCAATAATCACAATAACTATCAGGTGAACTAATTGGCAATTAAAGATTTTATAGGCCAGATTTTTAAAGATATCCAATTATATAATGATTTCAAAAGAAATACCTAAAAAATAAAGATATGAAAAAGTAAAAACCAAAAGGATGAAAAAAGATATGCTAGACAAATATTAATTTGATCTGTCCAAAAATGAATTGTAAATTAAGAGGAAGGGGAGAGATTTGAACAATAATATACTAGATGATATAAAGAAAATTTTTATGGACTCCTGGGTGACTCAGTTGGTTAAGCATCCAACTCTTAGTTTTGGTTCAAGTCATGATTTTATGGTTCATGAGCTTGAGCCCCAGGTCGGGGTTCTGTGCTGACAATGCAGAGCCTGCTTGGGATTCTCTCTCTCCCTCTCTCTCTGTCCCTCCCCCACTCACTCTCTCTCTCTGTCAAAATAAATAAACTTAAAAAAAAGACTTTTAAAGTTCATAATAGTGTATGGTTATGCTTTTTAAAAAAGCATAGAGAGGCACCTGGGTGGCTCAATTAGTTAAGTATCCCACTTTGGCTCAGGTCATGATCTCAGAGTTCGTGGATTTGAGCACGATCAAAACTGCTTCAGATTCTGGGTCTTCCTCTCTCTCTGCCCATTCCCCACTTGTGCTCTGTCTCTGTCTCTCTCTCTCAAAAATAAAACATTTACAAGATAAAATAATTAAAAAGCATATAGAGCTGAATACTGAATACTGTGAATTTACTTTAAAACAATTTGGGATGTGAGTGGAGGGAGTATTTAAGGGCATAGATGAAAGAAGACTGGTCCTGAGTTGATCACTTTTGAAGGTAGGTCATAGGTGCATGGTGGCTCGTTCTACTATTGTCTACTTTTGAATACATTTGAAAATTTCTAAATTTTAAGTAAAAACAATTAATAAAATAATAAATTCATACGATGCAGCTAAAGCAGAATTTAGGGGGGAAAACCCACATTAGAAATAAAAAAACCTCCAAAGGCTGAAAACGAAACAGGTAAGCATTCAACTGAAGAATAGACCCAAGGAAGAAGGAGATAATTAAGAAATGAACAAGAATGGGGCGCCTGGGTGGCTTAGTCGGTTAAGCGTCCGACTTTCGCTTAGGTCATGATCTCGCGGTTCGTGGGTTCGAGCCCCGCGTCCGGCTCTGTGCTGACTGCCGGCTCAGAGCCTGGAGCCTGTTTCAGTCTGTGACTCCCTCTCTCTCTGACCCTCCCCTGCTCACGCTGTCTCTCTCTCCCTCCTAGAAATAAATAAAACATTAAAAAAATTAAAAAAAAAAAAAAAAGAAATGAACAAGAATCAATGAAATGGAAAATAAAGATAGACTAGAAAAGTAAATGAAAGCCAAAGTTGATTCTTTGCAAAATCTAACAACTGATCAAAAAATAAAACTGAAAAAAGGAACATGACAATAGAGCAGATATATATAAGATATGAAGAAATAAGGGAAATCTTGTGCTAAAAACTTAAAAATTAATACAAAAAGTCAAATTCAAAAAGGTAAAGAAAGGTATGAATTACCAAAAATGGTTCACGAAAGATAGAAAATCTGAATAGTCCTACAACCATTTAAGAAGTTAAGCCAGCATTAAAAAATCATCCACAAAGAAAACTTTCAAGAAACAGATAATTCTGGGGCGCCTGGGTGGCTTAGCCGGTTAAGCGTCCGACTTTCGCTTAGGTCATGATCTCGCGGTTCGTGGGTTCGAGCCCCGCGTCGGGCTCTGTGCTGACTGCCAGCTCAGAGCCTGGAGCCTGTTTCAGTCTGTGACTCCCTCTCTCTCTGACCCTCCCCTGCTCACGCTGTCTCTCTCTCTCCTAGAAATAAATAAAAATATTAAAAAAAAAAAAACAAACAAAACAAAACCAAAAAAAACAAAAAAAAAAAGAAACAGATAATTCTAATCATCTTATAGAGATAGAAGATGAGGACATACTCAACTCATTTATGAGACCTATATAACCTTGATACCCAAACCACACAAGGATATTACAAGAAAAGAAAATTACAAGGAATCTCACTTAAGAATATAGATGTAAAACTTTTTATTTTTGAGAGAGAGAGACAGTCAGAGACAAAGTATGAGTGGGGGAGGGGCAAAGAGAGGGAGACACAGAATCCAAAGCAGGTACCAGCCTTCGAGCTATCAGCACAGAGCCTGAAGCTGGAACTCATGAACCATGAGATCATGAACTAAGCTGAAGTCAGATGCTTAGCCAGCTGAGCCACCCAGGTGCCCCTAGATGTAAAACTTCTAACAACAATTAGCAAACTTAATCCAACAGGATATAAAAAGGTCATTATGTCATAGCCAATTTGGGTTGATCTTAGAACATCTATTAATACCATTTATCATATTAACAGATTAAAGGAGAAAGCCATATGATCACCTCCATAAATGTAGGAGAGAGTGTCTGATAAAATTCAATACCAATTCAGATAAAAATTCTTACTTAAGTCATAAATGAGCATTAAGCTAAATGAAGAAGTATTACAAACAGTCCTTTTAAAATCATTAACAAGCCAAAATGCCCAGCATCATCACTTCTATTCACTGCTGCACTGTAGGTCCTTAGCTAGTACAGTAAGTGAAGATAAACATAAATAAATAAGGAAATAAGGATTAGAATGGAAATAAGAAAAATGATATAATGTGGACAGGACACAATTGCCCACATAGGAAACACAAAATATCTACAAGTAATACAGTGGCTGGCTATAATACCAACAAGTAGGATAATGGCTAGCTATTAGATAATATAAAATGAAATCAAGTAATAAGCTGAAAATGTAATTTTCTAAAAGACACAACACAGTTTATATGGTATCTATAAATATATGTAACAAAAATGTCCCAGAACTGTATAGAATTTCATTCAAAATCCGAACAAGTGTTTTTGTGCAACTCCAAAATGGATTTTAAAATGTGCAGGAAATAGGGGCTTCTGGGTGGCTCAGTCGGTGAGCATCCAATTTCAGCTCAGATCATGATCTCACTGTTTATGAGTTTGAGCCCCACGTCAGGCCCTGTGCTGACAGCTCAAAGCCTGGAGCCTGCTTCAGATTCTGTGTCTCCCTCTCTCTCGACCTCTTACCTGCTCACACTCTGTCTCTGTCTGTCTCTCTCTCTCTCAAAAATA